TACTCCAAAACGCAACGTTTCAAGCTCCCTCCGGGACCGCCGTCGCGTCCCTTCATCGGCCATCTCCACCTCATGAAACCGCCGATCCACCGTCTCCTTCGACGTTACTCCGATAAATACGGTCCAATCTTCTCCCTACGATTCGGCTCCCGCAGAGTCGTCGTCATAACTTCATCTTTACTCGCACAAGAATCATTCACCGGCCAAAACGACGTCATTTTATCAAGCCGGCCGCTACAGCTCACGGCTAAATACATCGCTTACAACCACACTACCGTCGGAACCGCTCCTTACGGCGATCACTGGCGTAATCTCCGCCGCATTTGCTCACTCGAAATCCTTTCCTCGAGCCGTATCACCAACTTCCTTCACATCCGCAAAGACGAAATCCGCCGTATGCTCGCAAGACTCGCGCGCGAAACTCACTCCAACCGTTTCACTCACGTCGAGCTCGAGCCACTACTCTCCGATCTAACATTCAACAACGTAGTAAGAATGGTTACAGGGAAGAGATACTACGGAGACGAAGTAAGCAACAAGGAAGAAGCAGAGCTATTCAAGAAACTCGTTTACGATATCGCTACGTATAGCGGCGCGAATCACTCTGCCGATTACTTACCGATCCTTAAACTATTCGGAAACAAATACGAGAAGGAAGTCAAAGCTATTGGCAAATCGATGGATGATATCTTGCAGAGATTACTCGACGAGTGTAGAAGAAATCAAGAAGGTAACACAATGGTCAATCACTTGCTTTCTCTACAACTACAAGAACCAGAGTATTACACTGACGTTATCATCAAAGGCCTCATGATGGTAAAATTCCCTTCTCTAATCAAAATCTCGAATCTAACTAAGAATCATGGAACGAATTTTCTATTATATTACTTAATCAAAATCTAATTGTGAGATTCTGACCTGATTTTGCCGTGCAGGCGATGATGCTCGCCGGAACCGAAACCTCCGCCGTGACATTAGAATGGGCGATGACGAATTTGTTAAAACATCCAGAATTATTGAAGAAAGCGAGATCGGAGATAGATGAGAAGATCGGAGAAGAACGATTAATCGACGAACCAGACATTGCCGTACTTCCTTACCTTCAAAACGTAGTCTCCGAAACATTTCGGCTATTTCCGGTGGCTCCGCTACTAATCCCTCGTACACCAACGGAGGATATGAAAATCGGCGGTTACGACGTGCCTCGAAACACGATCGTGCTGGTTAACGCTTGGGCTATACATAGAGATCCAGAGCTATGGGAAGATCCGGAGAAGTTTGATCCACATCGGTTTGATGATGGATGTGGAAGCGATTACTATGTTTATAAGCTTATGCCGTTTGGTAATGGCCGGAGAACTTGTCCCGGCGCTGGATTAGGGCAGAGGATTGTGACGTTGGCGTTAGGGTCGTTAATTCAGTGTTTTGATTGGGAAAATTTGAAAGAAGAAAAGATTGATATGTCAGAGAGTGCTGGGTTAGGTATGCGTAAAATAGATCCTTTACAGGCTATGTGCAGGCCTAGACCCATTATGGCTAAACTTTTACACTAGTTAAAAGTGTTTTTAATAACAA